TATTAAACACTTTTTATGTTTAATAAACCTAAACCCACCTGTAAAGTAATGCAACGTCCCCTGACTCGCTAAACAAGCCCTTCCCAAAATTCACACCTTTAATCACAACTCTGACTATTCAGTTAATTATTAGGATTTAATTATTTATTAATATATAATAATATGTTTATTTTTAATTTTTTAGATCTTAAACAAAAAAAAAAAAAAAAAAAAGAGTATCGATTACTTAAGGGTACTGTTGTGATTTTATCTTGAAATGGTTGAAATGAACCAAATTAAGCCATCTGGTCTCCATGGCGATATCTACCTGGAAGTGGGCCGGCGGTTGAGCCAATTCTCGTCTGTCACGCTGGTGCGAGGAGAGTGGCACGGTGACTGGCGGGGCGACTGGCGAGGTGACTGATGGGGCGAGAGCGCCGGGTTGAAGGCCATAGGATGCTGGTACTTCTGCTGCCACAGCTCTACCCCAAAGGCTCCGCCCCCACAGCCCGGAGAACCAAAAGGCGAGCCGAGGGGGGAACCCATGGCGAGGCGGGCGGCATCAGGTAGCTCCCCCTCCACATCATCGTAGGTATGCGAGAAAGACTCACAGGAGGAGAGGTCGGAGATCCAGCTCCTGGAGGAGAGGCTGCTGCACGGGCTCGGGCACAGAGCCGGATCCCGGTAGCGGGGCTCCAGAGAGAGGTACAGCTGGTCTCTGCACCAGGATGCATCGCTGTAACCCCCCTCTGCCCCGCCCACTGCCAAAACATCCTGGCTACTGTCGGGCTCCAAATGGTTGTTTGGAGCAATGGAGGTAATCTGAATGCTGGGGCAGTCAAAGGCTCTGGGGTTCACCTGGGCACCGTACTGGGGCCCCTGAAGTTGGTATCCAACATGTGGGTCTGAGGTGAAACATGAGGGGGAACTCTGCAGCTCCTGGATGAAGGGCTGCTCGACCAGAGCCTGTGCGGAGGAGGGAAACGTCCTCACATCGAGATCTGGACCTGCGAAGCGGAGTAAAGAAAACAACATGTAAATCAGGCAGGAGATCATTTGCATTGCAAATGTGTGGTTTTCTTATTATGGTGTAGCTGTCCTGCAGCAGACGACTGCACCTGACAGGTAATATTCATCAGTCGCCGGGAGAGAAGCTGCAGGAAAGCGGTGAGGAAATAAAGTCCACAGGGTTTCAAAAACAAGACCATCCTCACATCCCAAGAATGTGACCTTCATAGAGCAAAGACTTAAATATCTTCTCTGGGAAATGAGTGTTTGGCACGTATAGATTACTCAGAGTTTAGATATTATGTGTGCAGTCACATCCCCAGGGTGAAAAACACTCGTCGATATGTTATCATTTAATGTAAAAATGATCGTCATGTCATTTGGCTACAGATGTAACAGCAACATGATTAAGCTTCAGTTTTGCTCTTGCACAGTTTCACAATTTCAACATCTTTGATTGAGTATTTTACATGTTTGATGCAGGCTGACTTCCTGTCATTATATCATTCGACATAAAAAACCTCCAAAAAAGGCAAAAAGAAACTAACGTGTGTAAAGATCACTACAACAAAACAGAATGTGATAAAAACATTGTTTCAGCCCAATTATCACAACTGTGATCACCACATAAGCCCGCCGTGACGCATTTCCTCCTCCTCTGTCGATTCATTTTGATCTTCTGTTGATTTGCTTCGACTTCATTTCATTTCTCTCACCAACGATGAGATGCGTCATGATTTCAGGATTAAAAAAAAAGGTACAAAAATGATGAATAACGTCATTTTTTAAAACTCTCATTGCTTTGTTTCATTGGTTCTGCTACTTTTTTTTAAAGCAAGTACTTAACAGCAATTTTATATTTAATTCAAAGCAGAAATTTTCAAGTTTTTCTTTTTAATGTAGCACTTTTAGCCCCGCTGCAGTTCCCTGACAGTTTGGGAACCACTGCGCTTTGCAAACTTTTATTATTTAAAGTTCTTGATCAATTTTGGCCTTCCAAGCTGTCAATAAACGAAACAGGGAGCAAAGCAAACAAACTTGGTGCTTATTGGCTGAGCCACACCGGAGCAAAGAGAAGAGCAACCTCCTTGCAGCTACGCAAAAATGTTGGTGGTTGACTGAATGTCTTTGCTGGCGGAGACAGGGATAAAAATCCATAAGGTTTTATTGATACTAATAATGACATTAGTATCACAATGAATCTGCGAGGTGCATTATTTAGATATACCTCACAGACCTTCAGTGTCCATGCAACTGCTTCAGCTTCAAATACACTCCTGGAAGTCGATCCTGTGTCGCATAGAAAAGCATTTCAGATGTGAAAAAACTGTGGAGGCATTTCTCAAGTGGCGCCGATTAGAAACAGCTGCAAGGACCAACCTTTCACTCAGAAGCTGAGCGTGCAGTACTCTCACCCTCTGCAGCGATCGCACAGGTTGCCTGATGAGAGGCAACCTGTTTCTGGGCATCTGTGGTTCAACTCAGATCGACTGCAATACATCTCAGACA